GAAGCCGGATTGAGCCCGAATTTCATATACGAGCTTCCTGCAGCGAGGTAATCAATCCTCAAGTTCTAATCCCTGAATTTCGGCAATTATTTATGTCGGGGTCCAAATCGCTGAATTTAGCTCCGGCTAAGGTTTGATGTGTTTTTATCGAGAATTTGACCCGGAGCCTAGAACTAATATTGGCGGGGATACTGCAGGGGATATTAGGACGGTCTCGGATTTTAATTCGGGGTTCGTTCCTAAAATTGACGTTTTAGTACGGGAAGGTTAAACCGGTGTTTGAACGACCAGAACTGGTGAGGGATTAGCACGGCATACCGGGTTTGTCGTATCACAATAATTATATTGATGCTTAGAATTGATCTAGGTGAACTAGAATGGCATGATTAGGGGTGTATGAACTTTTGTGCTATATGTTGAACCCTGGATTGTTGTATGATATTATTGACTTGCCCTAATCGATATGAACCTTGTTTATGCTGATGATTGTGTATATGTTGCAAATTGTGGGCTTGACTGTTAATATGCTTTACGATGGTTCGAGAAGGTGATTAGGTATGATTTTTCATGTTTGTTGTATTTGGATGCACAAGTGGGAAAATATATATTCCCTGGTAATATTATGATGTTTAAGGAGGATGACTTGCACGAGGGTTTATCCCGAGGAAGTGCAATTATACGACTCCTGATTTCCCTATGTTGAGCCAATTATGGCCAGGTCAAGTACATGTGCAAGTAATGAATTATGATTAAGCAAGATGAGATATGAATCATGTATAAGGATACCAAATATGAGTGTTTTGGTCTCACGGTCAACTACATAATAATTAGGGCTCCCTATGCTATTACTCTCTTATGATATGTATGATAGTCACACCTCTCTTGTGGTGGTGACTGAAGATTTCTTATTAGATATGACCACACCCAGAGTGGTGTCGGGGTATGACTACACCCATAGTGGTGTGGGGTATGTATGACCACATCCGACGGGATGTTGGGGTATGTATGACTACATCCGACGGGATGTGGGGTATGTTTCCCGGGAGAGTTATTAGCATGGGAGTAGCCAGGCGCCTATAAGTAAAACATGATAAGATGCATATGCATAAGTCAAGGTGGTTGAGTCTTTTGTCTATTGGGATGTCGGATGCCTGAGGTCCCATCCTAGTGTTTTGGCTTGATTGGTAGGGGTATGCTCTGTTATGAACTCACGATGCTATGATTATCTCACTCAGCTATGAGCTGACCCTCTTTATCCTTTTTCTCTGCTTATGCTATGTGTAAGTAGATCATCAGCAGCAGCAGTAGATAGGTGTTAGGTGGGAGAGGAGCTAGAGTTGAAGTTAAGATGAGGTATGGTCTTCAACTATTCTGTGCTTGGACGACTACTTGAGATTTTGGCCAGTGATCCACACCTTTTTGTAAAATGTTTTGAGAACGTTTTTCATGTGCATACTAGCTTCTGATGTAGTGTGAGATATCCACAGGTGTGGAAAGTTGATGATATGTGTATATTTGTGTAATTATGTAAGTTGTGACGATTATGGCATGTATCACTATAGTATGCAGTTGTGTAACATGAAACTGTGACTATGGCTATGAAAAGATAATACATATGGCAGTGAGAGTATATGTTTGTCTATGAAGGCATGGATTAGATGAATTATTTTGCAGGATTAGATGGAAGAACTGTTAGCCCATTACGCGAGTAATTCATATCGAAATTTTATTTGGGTAAATTTTGATAATTAATGTAACACCCGAGATTATTTCTGCTGCAATTGTATGAACAATATGATTAGGTAATACGTATGGGATAGGGTGTTACAGTTTGGTATCAGAGCTGGTTTGTTTTCTGCATTATGGGTATGTTACTCTCACTCTTGAGGACTGATCACCCTCGTAAGGGGAGAGAGTACTCCATACCTTTATTTGCACTAAACTTGCCCGGATTTGGGACCAAAGGTGATGATGTGTTGCATAGTCAATTGCATATGGTCAAACATGATTTTGAGCATTGGAAAGAATCTTGAAAAAGTTATGGTTTAAAAGGTTTTGAAATTTTATGGAGTTTTTATCTTGTTGTCCAAGTAATGATTTTGGCAGAAATTTTTAATGGTGTGTGGATCAACCTAAGGCCAATGTTTCCATGTAGCTCACACAGAAGTAGTTTTATGTGCCCCTACTAACTGATTGAGAAGCATGGTGGCTAGCTATGCAATGCAGTTGGGTTTAGGCTGTGTTAACATAATGAGTTTTGATGGTAGATATTTGTATAGAGATATGAATCTTGACGATGTTATGGTAACCATTTTGTAGGTTGGTATGACCTTGTGTTAGTGGCAACCTACTTTGCAGGTTAACAATCTTGCTTAGTAAGTTATGTTTTGAACTTGTTGATGTGCTTTTGTTGTGATAACCCGATATAGGTTTTTGAAACCTTATATTGGGAACTTGAGGTGTTATGTGTTTAGTTATGTAATTAAGATCTCCTAACCTAAGAGTTAGGTAATAACCTTATGTACAATCTATCATGTTAAGGATACGTAAGTAGACTTAAGGTATGACTCAAGGATAGATTTCGGGGACGAAATCTTTTTAAGGAGGGGAGAATTGTAACATCCCATTTCGGCAAAACTCTTATTTCGATCGCTAGAAAGTTCGCGATTTAAAACCGAACGTTTTGATAGTATTTCGGCGAAAATCGGATTATCGATCGATCGGATAAGTATACGTATTAATTATATATATATACATAATTAATGTCGGGCCATATATATATAAACCCTTCCCCCGTCACTTTTATTCCATCATCATCTTTCCTTTTCTAATTTCCGAACCGAGAGATACAGAGCAAGAGGAAGAGTTCAGGGGAACGTCGGGGGAAAATTCCCAAGCTCAATTCTTGAGTTCTAGTGATCCAAAAATCCCGTAAGTAATGCCTAATTCATCTATTCATCGTGATTTATCGATTTAGAGCTTTAAAACGAGTTTTTGGTTCAGGAATTTCTTGAATTCCCGATATGCCAAATTAGGGTTTCAGAGTATCCGGAAGCCGGATTGAGCCCAAATTTCATATACGAGCTTCCTGCAACGAGGTAATCAATCCTCTAGTTCTAATCCCTGAATTTCGGCAATTATTTAGGTCGGGGTCCAAATCGCTTAATTTAGCTCCGGCCAAGGTTTGATGTGTTTTTATCGAGAATTTGACCCGGAGCCTAGAACTAATATTGACGGGGATACTGCAGGGGATATTAGGACGGTCTCGGATTTTAATTCGGGGTTCGTTCCTAAAATTGACGTTTTAGTACGGGAAGGTTAAACCGGTGTTTGAACGACCAGAACTGGTGAGGGATTAGCACGGCATACCGGGTTTGTCGTATCACGATAATTATATTGATGCTTAGAATTGATCTAGGTGAACTAGAATAGCATGATTAGGGATGTACGAACTTTTGTGCTATATGTTGAACCCTGGATTGTTGTATGATATTATTGACTTGCCCTAATCGATATGAACCTTGTTTATGCTGATGATTGTGTATATGTTGCAAATTGTGGGCTTGACTGTTAATATGCTTTACGATGGTTCAAGAAGGTGATTAGGTATGATTTTTCATGATTGTTGTATTTGGATGCACAAGTGGGAAAATATATATTCCCTGGTGATATTATGATTTTTAAGGAGGATGACTTGCACGAGGGTTTATCCCGAGGAAGTGCAATTATACGACTCCTGATTTCCCTATGTTGAGCCAATTATGGCCAGGTCAAGTACATGTGCAAGTAATGAATTATGATTAAGCAAGATGAGATATGAATCATGTATAAGGATACCAAATATGAGTGTTGTGGTCTCACGGTCAACTACATAGTAATTAGGGCTCCCTATGCTATTACTCTATTATGATATGTATGATAGTCACACCTCTCTTGTGGTGGTGACTGAAGATTTCTTACGAGATATGACCACACCTAGAGTGGTGTCGGGGTATGACTACACCCATAGTGGTGTGGGGTATGTATGACCACATCCGACGAGATGTTGGGGTATGTATGACTACATCCGACGGGATGTGGGGTATGTTTCCCGGGAGAGTTATTAGCATGGGAGTAGCCAGGCGCCTATAAGTAAAATATGATAAGATGCATATGCATAAGTCAAGGTGGTTGAGTCTTTTGCCTATTGGGATGTCGGATGCCTGAGGTCTGAATCTAGTGCTTTGGCTTGTTTGCTAGCTGTATGGTAGGGGTATGCTCTGTTATGAACTCACGATGCTATGATTATCTCACTCAGCTATGAGCTGACCCTCTTTATCCTTTTTCTCTGCTTATGCTATGTGTAAGTAGATCATCAACAGCAGCAGTAGATAGGTGTTAGGTGGGAGAGGAGCTAGAGTTGAAGTCAAGATGAGGTATGGTCTTCAACTATTCTGTGCTTGGACGACTACTTGAGATTTTGGTCAGTGATCCACACCTTTTTGTAAAATGTTTTGAGAACGTTTTTCATGTGCATACTAGCTTCTGATGTAGTGTGAGATATCCACAGGTGTGGAAAGTTGATGATATGTGTATATTTGTGTAATATGTAAGTTGTGACGATTATGGCATGTATCAGTATAGTATGCAGTTGTGTAACATGAAACTGTGACTATGGCTATGAAAAGATAATGCATATGGCAGTGAGAGTATATGTTTGTCTATGAAGGCATGGATTTAGATGAATTATTTTGTAGGATTAGATGGAAGAACTGTTAGCCCATTACGCGAGTAATTCATGTCGAAATTTTATTTGGGTAAATTTTGATAATTAATGTAACACCCGAGATTATTTCCGCTGCAATTGTATGAACAGTATGATTATGTAATACGTATGGGGTAGGGTGTTACAGTAAAACTGTGATGTTTGGTGGAGACTTGGCCGTGAGCAGACAGTAGATGGCTCCCTAACTCGATCTCTTCTCTGGGATTCTTTTAAAATTCTGAAACTGTCAACAAATATGAGAATAAATGATTCCCTAGCAGACGAAGAACAGTTCCTTCATGGCTATACATTTCCACAGTGGGTTCTTGCCTTGGGAGATGGCTGCCTCAAAACAAGATCTTTCCGGCAAGACACCCCAGCAGACTGGATGCAAATCCCGCAGGTTTTTTTAGTGGATCATGGCGGTGATCCTATTGAATCTCTTGCAACAGACATCTATGATTCGTTTGCAGAAAATTACAAAAATCCATTGTATCTTGCAAATAGAGCAGTTGTGACTCCGACGAATGCAACTGTCTCTGAATTCAACAAATACATGTTGGAGCAGGTTCCAGACCCAGGAAAAACATACTACAGTTCAGATTCACTACTGCAAACAACAGAGACAGTCGACTCATTCGAAGAGTGCTACCCGACAGAATTTCTCAATTCTTTGACATTCAATGGGATCCCAGATCACGAACTTACCTTAAAGATCCATACTCCTGTTATGTTGCTTCGTAACATCAGTCTAGGTCTTGGTCTATGCAACGGGACACGAGTTATGATCACATCGCTGGGCAATGATATCATCAAGGGAACTATCATGGGTGGTTTTGGTGATACCGACGAAGTTATCATTCCAAGAATTGTACTGAATGTGGAGAACCCCAAGTGGCCATTCACTCTTAAACGTCGGCAATTTCCAATTTGATTGTGTTATGGCATGAAAATAAACAAGAGCCAAGGCCAAACGCTCGACAAGGTTGGGATCTATTTGCCTGAACCTGTGTTGAGTCATGGTCAGCTGTATGTGGGAGTCTCAAGAGTTAAATCAGCCAAAGGTTTACGAATTTTGATTAAAAACACCGACGATATTCCGAATGACTACACACTTGAATATCGTTTTCAGGGAAGCCTTTGCAGATATACTGCAAGCTTAGACTTCCCCTAATGACATGGCCATGTTAAGTTCATGGGTTTTGGGTCCAGATGTGTGCGATTAACATGCCACGTTTAGCATCTTCAATTGTGTGTAATTAATTCTGTTTTTCTTTTGTAAGTGTTGGCAACTCTTTTTGTCATCCTTTACTGTAAAATGCTCAAGTTGCGGCGGGAAAGGGATAAATATATGCAATGCGTTTATCAGTACAGTAGTTGGATTAGTTCGATGTTATCCTGTTAATTTCCTAGAGTTGGGTTCTTCATAAGTTCTTGAAATTCATTAAGTAATCTTCCTAATAACTGATTCAATTGGACATTTGATCCTCAGAACATATGAGCGGCTTCATCCATTTGTTTATGGCCCAGAGAAATGCATTGGGCCTCACACTGTTTTTCTACCCAAACAAAACAGAGAGCTTCATTAAAGATTCCTAAGGATACAAACATAGTTACACGTGACAACAACTATGTTCACTAGAAAGCCCAAATCAGCCTTCCGACCTGTATTTTTTAGGCCCGCATTCAATTTACCTATGCCCCGCTATGGCCTCCTTCGACAAAACAGACATCGTTCCAGATCTTCGCTAGGATCGGCGGTAAAAGCGGTGCCTCTCGACCACTGTGCAAAACCCTAGCGCCAAGGTATGTCACTGTCTGGTCCTAAGCACACCACTCACTAAAAAAAACATCACAATTCTCTAATCTATATTCCTTCCATCTCAGCGGACCCACGAACTATGGCAGTTTTTCGCCGAGACAACCCAGTTGCCTCGCGGGATTACGAGGTCCCCACCGATCCCCAAGGTTCGATGTTTGTGTTTCTGTAGGTCTGAATTGTTAGTGTGTTTTTTGTATCTATTGTAGACCCCATTTGTACTTCGATGACGTTTCGAGGTTTGCGGTTGGGAACCAACAACCGTACTGTGATAGCTCGCCTTCTAAAAACGTGGACAGAAGTCATTGACAGAAAGTTTTGGAAAACGCCAGCACTGCGCATGCTCTGGATGGACAAAAAGGTTTGTCTACGATTTCCCAGCAAAAAAAACACCTGCTGCTTATTTATAACATTCTTTTACACCTGCTAATCCCGCAGAAACGAGTTATTGAAGCTCTGGCATATGAAAAGGACATTGATGACATGATGGCGAGGATCAAAGTTGGTCGTCTGCATCGCTTAAGCATTATCGTTGCAATTCCCTCGAGTAAGAACAAACGGATTGTCCCAGGAGAACTGCGACTGCTCATGAACTCTGACCAACTGATTGACAGCATCGAAGAAGACCAAAACAATCCTAAGTTTCCCCTCGACTCATTCCTCAACTTTCATTTCTTAGTGGTCCCTTCAAAGTTTACAAGTTTCCACTGCCATGCAGGTAAAACACAGTACTTCACTTTTACAGCCAACACACACTACAAATCCCATAACATCTATGCAATTACAGATGTCACAGGCTGCGTATGACGAATCACATTACCAAAAGTACTTCAAAATGGCATGCTTGATTTCCATATGGTTATTGAAGACTACAGGTATACAAAACTATGTACCTAAGATCGCTAAAACTTTCGACATCAAATTATTTATATTTTGTTTGCATTTGCAAAACAGTGGGAACAAGGCTGCTGTGCAGTACTGTGGCTACGATGTCGTTGGTTACCTCCAACAAGAAGCAGATGTAGAGTCACACCTCTCGCTGATAACCACAATTACATCGGTGGTCGTCGTGCCCCATAAATGCAACGATGATGGCATATATGAGCTGGAATCGACACAAGCCAGTCGTCTGATTATCAGTTCATACAATGAGGCCACTGAAACAGTCATGAATAGGTGTTAGTGATTTCCTAACAATATCTAAGACAATTTGTTCGCTTCAAATATGCTTTCATTGCAACAACTTAGCCTAACATAATAAACAACTATTTGCAAAACTCAGGTTTCTGCCATGCCGCAAACCAATCAAGTACATTATCTATGGAATAGCTGAAAGGATGGGATACTTACGCTACCCTCGGCCCCCAAGAAGAACACTTGCTCAGATAAAAGAAGACTTGAGTTCAGAACCATAACATCGTGAGGTATATTATGATGATTTTTAAAATCCCGACATTAAAATGTGTGTCACTTGCTATTACCATGCACTCTAACCTAGCAAAAACAATTTTTATATTTCAGATCCTCTACCGAACCATAATCAAGTTCACTCATGTCAAATACAAAGACGACATTTGCAGAACCACTCAGGAAACGCCAAGGTGAGATTAAATATTTAAGTTGACCCATTTTCACTTTTGGCAATGAACGCTTGCATTATTCTCAACAAAGCTAACGAGCTTCTATTATAACTAGACTGCATTACCAAATCGAAGCAAGTTGCAAATCTGAATCATCGGAGGCTGATGTTGTACTTAATCACGAGGCAGCTCTGTCGATAATCTGCATGCTACCGGCAAAGTATCTCAAACTGAACGAAGATGAAATAAAAGCCATCATAAAGAAAAACTGCAAGAAGACCTTCGCAGCAGAACTGTACATTGCATGGCCGAACCCAGGTCAAAGCACCGTGCCACATATTAGGGTTGCGACACTTTGGGATCGCTGTGCGTTCGACGATTGAACATTAACTTCGACCAGCTCCATTTTGAATCAGGAAACTACTACTGATTAACCACCCTTTGCTGTTTCTACTTAAGCCCTGGCATAATTGACAACACTTTAGGTCATCTTTTGTGATGACATGCTGTTCCCTGAACATGATGCACATATTTTGTAGATCTTTGTTGATCTGTCTATTTCGCAGCAACAACTACCACCTGACTTAATCAGGTAGTTGAGTCAGCCTGAATCTATTGTGAATGTTTAGGGCACATTTTGGGAATTACTTTTGCATATGTACCGATATGTCATTGCCACAAAAGTACTCAGTTAGCCAATTGGTCCCTACTATGGACTTTGTGATTTAAGAGTTGTTTGAATATTAGAAGTGATGACAACAATTCTCTTGCCTACTACCACCGTTTCCCATATGTGATCTTTAACATTATGATTATTGAAGCAGGAACCGCCTATTATTACGTATTTATTATTATCTTTTCATATCGTCGAATCTAATGTTTATTGCAAATGCTTAGAAATAACATTGCTTTGTATGCCTCCCTTTTATCCAGAATTATATACATCATTTGTGGTTTTCGATTCCCCATTAGCAACGATATCTGATGCTCCAGTATACAAATTTGATGTTGGAAAAACCCCACCTAAAAAATACAACCGACTCTTCCATCTGGGCCTTTAGCCCAGCACTTATGGCCGATATTATCCCCTTTCTTTCCTCTTTTCCTTTCATTTCGTCTACCTTCCACCCTGATTTTTACTCTGCCCGCGTCGTAATTTCCCGACCCTTCTGTTTGCCTCACCAGAAGAATAACGCTACTGCTGTTCCACCTTTCTTATTCTTACTCTCACTTTGACCTTCTTCCTCTATTTCCTCACAGAAAGGCGATGTCTACTCCTAAGCTACTTCTCGATCTTAATGGAACTGAAGACCTAGAAACTATTCTGAAATTACGACTCCTACATGTTTGGGTATCTGACGACCTAGAAAAACCATATTGCAGTCTCTGGACCGATGCGAAGGTAACACGCTATTTGCTTTCATTTTTTCTATTTTCCAATAACATTTCTGATCCTGAGTCATCTCTATTGTTTCGCCTGCTGCCTACTTTCGCAGGGAACATTGATTCAAGTTGTCGCCCCATCAAATTTAGCTGCCCATTTTGGCATAATCCTGCAACTGGGCTGTGTATATTTAGTTGCTAGATTCCATCTACAACAACCACAAACGATGTGGTGTCCTTGCTCCCATACATTGAATTTGGTTCTTTCTCAAGAAACCATATTTGATAATGTGACCATGATGTCGCCTGGTTTTTGTGCTAATTCGTTTGAGTTTGTTGGCTTCAACTCCTTGTGCTCCTTACCTCGCTCAGCAAACCAGCTAATAGGTTTACCTATCAAACTACTTTAAACTCATGAACTCCTCTTCAATTTCACCATTACAGTTGGCGAGCTGACTATGTTTGCCAACCTCTTCAAATGTAGATGTTGTTGGCAAAGTTGTGCCCGTAGCTGGTCTGTCATGCTCAGTAACCTCTGCTCATGCTATTATTAGGCGCAAGCTGGTCATACAAAACGAGAGGTTTTCGATGCATTACACTTGTGTACTTTTCCAGTCCTTCATTTGTTATCTTTTATTTCCTCTTTTTTTCATTGTCTTTGTTTCGCTGTACTTTTGCAGGCATGTACGCCTTAATATCGCCATCTGTGGCGATGTTGCACGATCTCTAGATGGGGAAGAACTAGCATACCTTGGCCGTTCTGGTTCTGTTGTACTAGGTGTATGTAGTCTTCAGATAAGTGATGTGACAACAGGTTAGATCGCAGCTTTCTACTTGAAAACTAATGGTTTGACTTATCTACATTATCATGTATTGATACCTACTTTTCCACTGTTTTTCCAAGACGCCATATTTCTGACCAGCATCCCTGCCACACGCTTTGTGCTAGAACCATCTTGTGATTTGGCAAATATTTTGCGCTCTGCGTAAGTTGCTTCCAATGTAACTTTTCAACAATTTACTTTTTCTTTATCTAATATTTTCCCCAATGTATAGCTCTCTTGGTGGAAATGATACAATTCAATACTATCCTCCGTGGTTCTCAACCTCTTTTGAAGAACACCTATTCCAGACTGACAGTACAAAGAAAAT